GTATCACAGAACAGAAACGTAGCCCCTCCACCTGTCCTCAAACTGTGGAAAGTCTGGGGCTTTACTCAACTTGCAGGCTAACCAGTTAGCATGCTATAGTTTCACAGATGCTGGCAGAAGACATGGACTCTGGAGTGTGAGACACAGAACTTTGTTACAGCAACAGCCATAGCCAAAGTATCAGCATTTATGCTAGCTGAAGACCCAAATCCACAGGGCTATGCACATAATGTGCCACAGAAGAGAAACTGAGGCTTAGGGAACCCCAATTTTTATAACAGATAATAACCTAACATTTGCCCTACAGGGAAACATTATCTTTATTTGCATGGTGTAAACAAACCCGCTCTTTGCTCTGGAGGGAGACAGATATCTTGATCCTCTACAGATGTTCACTAAACACTCACCCACAAAAAGCCAGAAACCGAGAAGGTCAGGGCTTCTACTCATAATCATGACAAAACAGGAAAGGTCCCTGTGTCTCAAAAATACCTAAATAAATGAAAATGTATAACTGTGCTCATGGCTCAGAAGACTTAATACTGCTAAAATGTCAATTCTCCCCCAAACTAAACTCATGATTCAACAGAATCCCAATAAAAATACCAATAGGACTGTTTTTAGAAGTGGCAAACTGATTCTTAAATTCATATGGAGTGGCAAAAGACTTAAAAATAGCCAAAACAACTTTGAAAAAGAAGAATGAAGTTGAAGTTCTTATACTACCTGACTTTAAGGTTTATTATAAAGAAGGGCATGGCATTGGCACAATGATACAAAAACGGGTTAATGGAACAGAGAAGAACCTAAAACTAGGCATTCTCATGTACTGTCAACTGATTTTCAACCCAGGTGCAAAGGCAGGTCACCAGAGAAAACAATCCTCAAAATAAATGATGCTGCTGGGATCAACTAAACAGGCAAAAAACAAGCCCCTCCCCCCACCCAAAAATCTACCTCTCACCACACAGAAACATTAACTCAAAACAGATCATATAGCTATATATGCAAACCTGTGAAACTATGAGAAGAAAATACATTAGAAAATCTTTGTAACCTTGATTTGGGCAAAAATTTCTACACCAAAAGCATGAATCATAGAAGATAAAGAATGATAAATTAAACTTTATCAAAACTAAGATCTTCTGCTATTTAGAAAATGCTCTCAAGAGAATGAAAAACATGCCACAAACTGGGAGAAAATATTTTTCCCACATATCTGACAAAAGATTGACATACAGAATATATAAAGAACTCTCAGTACTCAAAAATAATAATCAACCCAGTACTTTTTAAACAGGCAAAACACATGAACAGACACTTCATCAAAGAAGATATATTGATGGCAAATAAGCATATGAAAAGATGTTCAACATCAGGAATCGTAACAGAAGTACAGGTTTAAACCACAGCGAGGCACTACCACACCCCTATTAGAAAGTCCATTAAACAGAACGACAGTGCCCAGTATGAGTGAGGGTGTACAGCAGCTCCAACACTAGTACACTGCTAGGGGAATGTAAAACTGTACGACCGCTATGGAAAGCAGTGCTGCTGTTACATAAAAATTAACATATACCTAATGACCCAGCCATTCCACTTCTAGGTATTTACCCAAGAGAAGTAAAAGCACACGTCCATAAAACACTTGTACAAGAATGCTCCCAGCACCTCTCCTCATAATAGCTCAAAGCCAACTAGACAGCCCAAACTTCCATCAGCAGCTGAGCAGATATACCAACTGTGGTATAGCCACACAATGCAATACTAGTTTGCAATAAAAAATGATAAACTATTAATATACACAATACAGATGGATCTCTAAATAATTATGCTGAGTGAAAGATGCTAGGCAAAAAGAATATGCACTGTACGATTCTGTTTATATAAAATTAGAGAAAAAGAAAACTGCAGTACCATGCATAGAGGAGGGGAGTGGCTCTCTGGAAAGCAGGGATCAGAGGGCCAGAAAGGAGGGACCACAGAGGAGCAGCTGGTTTACTCATTCATTCTCTTAACTGTGGTAATGCCTTTACGGAGGGATATTTATATCAAAACTTATCCAGTGAGTGGATAAGTTATCTTAGTTAGTGGCAACAGGTGTGGGTCCAGTTTCAGTTTTCTGCACATCGCTAGCCAGTTCGTCCAGCACCATTTGTTGAATAGGGAATCTTTTCCCCATTCAATGTTTTTAATTGGCTTGTCAAAGATCATATAGTGGTAAGTAGCC